TAGTCTGTTTTCAGAAATTTTTTGCCATTTGTCGCTTTCGCATGAAAATGCAACGTAAAGAATACGGCATAAATCGCAGCTTTGCGTGTGTCAGCCGAATTCGACGATACGCTAAATCAGAGTCTTTGGAGCTGAGCCGGATGCGATTAGACTCAACTTATTATGCGTTTTGTGCTGTGCAACAGCTACACAAAACGCATACTGTCACAGGGTTATCTGCGTGTGTATGTTTATGTGTGCCCGCAGCAAATTGTCCGCATCTTTTAACTTAGGAATAACAAAAGCTAGGAAGCTGAAAATTCAAAGATACGCTCACGTGTGGCCACACAAATTTAAATTTAGCGTTCCCGTACCTGCAGGTAATACGTGTGACCCCGTAAAAGCTTTGGCAGCTAAAGTTACTATCACGGGAATCATGGAAGCTAGAAGCTGAAATTTATGGGCCTGTCCCTATCCACGTGCGACTCAGGAAATTTAAACTCAGCTTTCCCCTGCCCACGGGTGACACATACAGCCCAATAAAATTTTTGGTGGGCAAATTATTAACTCGGGAAACACTGCACCTAGAAAGCTGAAATTTTGGGAGAATGGCCCCCCTGCCCATGTACTAACTTGCAAATTCAGATTCAGCGTTCCCGCACTCTCTGGTAGCACCTACGGCCCTGTGACAATTTTGACGGAGAAATTATCTTGGGAACCACAAGAGCTGAAATTTTGCGACGTTGTGCCTTGCCCAGTCACAATTCCGCAATTTCAAATTCAGTGCCTTTCCGCGTGCCCAGGGTGTCGTTTACAGCCCCGTGAAAGTTTCTGCGGGAAAAATTATTATCTCGGGGATCACGAATATTGGGAATCTGTAATTTTACGGCGATGTACCCTATCAGCGTACGACCCCGCAAATTTAGATTCAGCCTCCACGCGCCCCTGGGTACCACGTACCGCCCCTTGAAAGTTCTGGCAGGAAAATTGTCTCGTGAGCTGCAAAAGGTAGGAGGCTGAAACTTTAACGTGGCGTCTCCTGCCCACGTTCAACTCCGCAATTTTCAACGTTTCCGTGAAAGTTTTTGCTAAAAAATCATGAACCCGGGAGCCAAAAGAGTTAGAAGGCTGAAAATTTCAGGAGAATATTTCCTACCGAAGCAGGGCCTTCACAAAACTCGAATTCAGTTTCTAAGTATGCCAAGGTTTCACATACGGCCATATGGAAGTTTTGTCTCGAAGATCATTCAAAAGCTGGAAAATTAGAAGATTGAAACTTTGGAAGGATACCACCCTTCGAAATTTCAAATTCAACGTTCACGTACCAGTGCATGAAATTTTTAACTACTTTTCAACATTTCACTTGTTTTTGCACAGACCAAAGTGCAAAGCAGTAAAAATCATTAACAGGCAATCGTTCGGTGGACAGAATAGCAAAAAACGCACGATCGCACCGACTATTCTGGTGCGCGCTGCTATTTATTTATTCTTCTTTCGTCTTGCTAAGTTTGTCATCGTGCAAGTATATTTAAAATCCATTCAGCACCTGCGAGCTAAAATTAACGGCTCGAATTCTATTTGCTGCACTTATTCATTTTTGTTAGTTTTCTCTTCACATCTTTGTATTTACCTTTCATTCCTACGCAGTACAAAGCACTGCAGTAGTTATTAAATGCTGGCTCATTTTACCGGACTGTTTTTTTTGAAACAAAGATGAATTATTATTAAAACGTAGTAAGTTGCACAATATTCCCATTAAAACAGTTGTGAAAAAAGTACTTTGGTAAACATATAAGCGGATATCGGCGCATCACCCTTTGAGCTTGACTCCTGCAGTAATTTCTGCTCCCATATCTGTGGTCTAAAAATTTATTCTGAACAAACAAAGAGTGAATAAGTTTAAAGTATGAAGTAATGCACCGGCAATTTTTAGAAAAATCATGAAAAATATAACACCCTTTGAATTTGATTCCTGTAATTTGTTCTCCTCTCCCCTCTATGTAGCGGATACCCACTAAAAGTTGGCTGAAACTGAAAAGCGTGTGATGCTTGTGGAAGTTGCGTTAGGCACTGTAAAGTAATATGTTTGTAAATGACGCACATTCATATGTGCTTCTAATAAGTGTGTAGAGCGCAACGGTGCTTTAGTACATCGCATCCGGATGTGAAGACACGAGGTTTGACTCTCTACCAGTATAAAACTTCTTGTGAGCTACGTTCGAGAAATCCCGCATTAATTTCTCCCTGAGGTTTTCCCTAATAGTAATTTCCCATAAGACACTAATACGCTCGATGCGTTGTTGTTAAACTGTAATTGAACTCATGGCCGCATATTTCTGGAATAAAAAGGAAAAACGTGCTCTGCTTCCCACAAAGCAAATGAACGCGATTCTTCAGTCAAAATAGTTCCCAGTGACCAAATGGTTCCTTTTTCTGTCACCAAGTACATAAATATATTACTTTTGTTTGCTGGCACAAATAAACATACTAATTTTGACATTCCATCAAGTAGTTTGACGCCCTTCGGATCTCCTCCTCCTCTTCTCAACTTTTGCATCCTATCTGGATAATTTCGGCACTCCTCGAAACAGTAATACGCAGATGCTAATTATTTTTGCATGTTGCCATATTTAAGAAAATTTTTTCTTTTGCACACAAAACCTAATCTTTGTGCGTCAGTTTAGTGCGCTGTACTGCAAAGATTGGCAAGTGGCATGCAAACGAAAATGAAACAGGTAATATAATATTTATCGCGACAAGCAAAATTGAAATACACAGACTTTCTTACAGCATAAGGAGTTTTTTAGCAAAAAAACCGCAAGATTTTCTTAGAAGAAAACAGAACTTACCCACGTGGCACATATTTTCCTTCGGGTCGTTTATAAAGGTCAACAGAATGCCTCAGGTCAAAATCAAAGTAATCTGGATCATCACGATTTGGACGACTGTAATACGGACGTGGCATGAACGCCTGCAAATTACGTAAATATTAAACTGCATTAAGGCTTCATATGCCACAAAATTCCACCAAAAAAGTGTATGACCAAAGTTTTTTGTAATCAAGCCAAAATTATTCTCGGAGACCTTGTCGCATAATGATACTAGTAGGAATTTTGTATGGGTCGATGAAGACACCTTTTGAAGAATTTAAATGAGGAAGAACACAGTTAATAATTTACGTTTTTGCTGTACAGTACTATAGCGTTGTTACAGCAGGCAACCCAGGCTGGAACGTACCAGGCGGGCCGGTGTGATTATGCGTTTTTGCACTTTTCGTGCTGTAGCAGGATCGCAAGGAATCACAGTAGCTAACCCTGTGACGTGCTGGCCCTCGAAGTTCGGGAAGTTAATTGTGCAGCTGTGTAGTATGTCAGTTGTAGATGTGGACTTCAGTGACCCGACAAATGGAAAGTTGTTGGTCCGCAAAAAAGGCCACACTAGAGGAGTTAAATTTAAAATCTTTTGGTCTCACATGAGTAGAGAACATTTTCCTAAAGTCTCAACTTTCCAGCTTTTTTTCGTTGCCGGGTTAGTAATTTTCGCGCCAAAATTTCCACGTGCCCATACATTGGCCCCGGGTGCTCCTAAACACCTTATTTTGCTCGTACATGAGTGGGGAACACTCCCCTAAAGTTTCAGCCTTCTAGCTTTTTCCGTTCCCGGGTTAGTAATTTTCGCACCAAAATTTTCGCGTGCCCGTATGTGAGCCCCGGGCGACTCTAAGGAGCTGAGTTTGAAAACTTTTGGCCGTGCGTGAATAGGGAACATTCTCCCGAGGTTTCACTTTCTAGCTTTTCCCATTCTTGAGTCACGAATTTTCCCGCCATAATCTTCACGTGCCCGTACGTAAGCCCCAGGCATACCTGGCAGCTGAATTTGAAATCTTTTTGTCATACACGGGTAGGGAACATTCCCTTAAGGTTTCAGCTCTCTAGCTCTTCTCGTTCCCGAGTTATCAGTTTTCCCGCCAAAACTTTCACGTGCTCATACGCGGGGCCCAGACGCAAAATTTCATCTTCAAAGCGGT